TTTAACTGAAGTTACTAGATTATGATGTAAAATCGCAACCTTTGTGACATGAAATAAACTTCAATATTCCTATCTGTTATTGAAGACGCTTTCGTTTCATGAAAGTGGGCCAATGTAAATTCGATGAAGAATTTTTTAACCCATTTCAACTCTTTTGGAAAAAAAAAATCTTAATTTAATATTTATAATCATTTCTCTTTATCTGATTCCACACATATGGTAGTATCTACTCTTTTTAATGCTAGAGTATTGCCGACGCCACATCTAAAGTAAAATTTTAAATTAATGATAATAAAGTCGCGTTCGATACGTCGTTACACTGTTTTTGTTGGCGTTATTATGATTGGTTGCCATGATTAGGCAAGTTTCCGTCGATTTAGTTACACACGCTCAGCTTGATGGATATCATCTCGAAGTGAGGTTCAGGGCTAGGTGTTTACATGACTTTTTTCTGACTTTTGTTCATTCATTTATCTATAGATTTTCTAATTCTTTTCTTTTTACTTAATCTTAGGTTATAATGTCATAATTAAGGTTATAGTTTTAATTTACTGAATTGAATCGAAGTTGCAGTCTAGCTGAACTATGTATATATATAAATTGGTATATAAAATTTTATATAGGTAATGACGTCACTATATATGTATATATTATTATTAAGAAAAGCGACACGCATATATATATATATATATATATGCAAAATATTCATTGCCCTTGCCGACCGAGAGTACACTCACACCTATACGTACATATATATATATATATATATATATATGCGTACTCACGCGTGTATGTCTGCTTATGCATATACATACTGTTCGGGACATCAAAATTAGGTCAAATGACGCACAAAAATTTTGCAACAACCGTCTCTCCCGCTAGTAAATACATAAACTTGCCGCTACATAAATGACTTTTAAAACATGCAGCATACCTACAATAAAAAGAGAAAAAGAATTCTTTTTAACTCCAAATTTTTTTAAATGTTGTTAACGCTCACACATTACAGTTCCTCAGTTTTGCTTAAAACAAAACGAAAAAAATAGTAAAGGTTTCAATTCAAAATATTGATACTGCAGTGAAGATGCTCGCCGTAAAGGATATCTCTCAGGGTTGTCCAACCTTTCGTTTGAAATAACTTTATTAACAATATTAATTTAATTTTTCATGGGTTTTTAATTAAAAAATTTTGTTAACATTTCTTCATCACAAATGAATCAATATTCTAAAATTAATTAACACTTTGAGTCTCTCTTTGAAATCGATCAAAAATATTTACCAGATATCACGTGCTTCTAACTCTAGTTTTCGTCTGCTACACCTTGAAAAAAGCTGCTCACAAATAGTGATAACATGGAGAACAACCTTATAAGTTAAAATTATTCCCATTAATGTCGAAATGAAGTATTAATGAATTCTCGTTAATCTCAATATTAAGTATTGAGGAAATTTTCAATTCCATTTCGAAAACTGTCACGATCGTAAAAATTTTATTTACTACATTGCGAGTACGTAATTAGCGTAGTTAAATAAATAACTGTACCGATAGATTTCAATTCCAAATTCTGGCAAAAATTTTGCTTATAATTGTTTAAATGATTTGATTTTTGGCATTCACCTACAAAGGGCAAGTGTTGCATAGTAACGATAATGTATAACGCATTGTACGATTTTCGTTATTTTTTTCACGCTTATTTAAGACTACACCTTTATTGATAATCTTGGACTGTTTCGAAGTATTTATTCTCTAACTTACTGTCCTTGAGTTAAAGTTCTACTAAACTTGGATCACATTTAACCTTAACTTGCACAGTAGGTTTGATAGATAATGTTTATTAATTCCAAACATAAGCTTTTGCAAACAAACAACAATCGCTATCACCCAGCCCACTAATTATGCTACACCCGTCTGTCTGATAAGTGAAATCATGATTGTTGTCTGAAAATCTTGTCCAGAACAACAAATCGGAGAAGATTAAAATCTTCTCTCTTTTGCTCTTGCCAGGTTACGTTTAAAAATCATCTAAAGAACCTGGGGCTCCAGTACAATCATCAGCGAAACCCTAAAACTATCGATCCACTCGTTAATCCTTTTTGCGTAGGGATCGGTCTGTTACGTTATTACCTGTATCTGCATATTTTAATTGTCAAATAGGTGTAGGTGTGGGATTCAGTTTTTCAAGTAATATTCCATTACACATTCGGTCGGTTATTCATGTATATTATGTTTCGTTGCATTCTATGCGTGTCGATATTGCTACCGCAGATAATACATAACTCATTTTGTTTTTAATAAAAATTTTCTGCGTCCCAAATCTTTTACACCCACTATCAATGATATATCGGATTTGCCAAATATGCCTCGTACATCCGTAAGGCAATTATATTTTTCACCAGTAAATAACTGCATAGATTTAGTCTTCCTTGTTTGCCTTTCTATTGATTTCGGGTTTTTCTTCATTTCTTAAAACCATCTCGACCTTGTTTAGAGCTCCCTCTTATCACTCTGGCTATTTGGATTATTGGTCTGATTATTTGCTTATCTACTTTATTTTTCTATTTTTTATTTATTTGTATTTATAATGTTATTCATACACCAATGATATTACAAATACAACGCTGTTTATAAAAAACGTTAATTGACTCGACAGCAGCCGATTCACATAAAATCGCAAAACAACATCGTCGAAACAGATATTTGCGTCGAATGCCATCGAGTTCGCCATCGACTTCCAAAAACCTATCCCAGTGTGAGCAGCAGCATCCATTCGACCAAGGGCGTCGGGCTGGTCTATTCGTTTTCCCGCGTGTTTTAAACAGGACTGCAATATTAATTAGTCATGTACATATTTTAATTTCAACAATTTCAATTTAATTTCAAGTGAATGCTGTTTCGCTGAAAACTGTTTCGCATTATATCGTTTCGTCGTCCTTACTGTAATTGATCAAATGTGACGATGCCTAGCAGATTAATGGATGTCTATAGCGGGAAAAATTTTGGGAGAAATTTCTCAATAAATTGTGTTTAGTCTCATATATCAAGCAATACCAATTAGATTGCGCCACACTAATGTACGTTTGAAAGGTGACATGTCAGTCAAACAATCGATTACAAAGGCTTTTTTTTGATAGAAAAGCATGAGAAGGTAGATTGCAAAACGTTTGAAAAAGCAATCATATATATCTAGAAGTTAACTCGCTTCGGCATGAAAGGGTTCCATCTAACATGCTTTATTTATATAATTGTGTGTTCGATAAGCGAATACAATTTTATGGTCAAATAGCACGATATTGGAAATAATTTTTTTCGTCTTCGACTACTAACTCATTTGACTTATCTACAGTGTATATCCGTTAGTTTTTGTGCATAAGACCGCAAGAATGGTGACTGACTAATTTGGTCAGTTTGTCTTTAACATTTAGCAATATTGATCAAAGTTTCTACAAGCTACGCATACGCCTTCTTAATAGGTATAAAATTCTGAATTGATTGGTAGTAATGCCCGTCCGTACTTTCGTCGTTTGACAGCAGACCTCTCATCCAAATTTGAAAACCGTTGTAATTCTTTTAATTATATCAGAAAGCAAAAATTTGACTCTTCTGCAATGTTTACAAGATATTACTGCAAAATATTCGGCAGTGTCATTTGTAAATGTAAGTGCAACTTGGCCAATTGACATGTTCTTTGTTTATAAATTATTATGTAAATTTTATATTTTCGCCTTTTCTTTTTAAATGTAACCGCTATCTACTATATCAGGTTTTTGCTACCGAATAGGTTCCCCTTCGATTATAAAAAGAAAGCGATTCGTGACCAATTCAAGGCATCCTTTCCCTATAGTTAAGAACTATGTCCACTGTGCCTCCTATGCATGTAAACATGACGGCGATCGCGAATAGTTTTAGGTACAGAAACAGAGAGAGAGAGAGAGAGAGAGACAGAGAGAGAGGGAGAGAGAAAAAAAATGCGAGTAGGACTTGTGTACGTTGGACTTGAATATCGAATTGTCCCGAATGTCAGGAAGAATAACTTGGGCCGAAATTGATAAAAAAACTGATTAGCGAGAAAGCAGTGTCAGTAACAATCTAGGATCGAAAACGCCAAAGGTTTGGACTGGCTAAAAGCTATTTTGTGTTTGACTAGTGGTCTACAATTGTGCGACCTTATAGCCGATCATAAGCCAGTTCAAATCGCTAATAAAGCAGCTAATGATCGAACGAATCGCTTTATTCTCGAAATCTGCTTCGTGATTAAATAAAAATTACATCGACATCGATGGCAAAAGTGATAAGTTATTGTCTCATTATCAACTAAACGCTACTTGGTGGATCTAAAGATCATTTCGCAATCGATGAATGACTGAATAATGACTGAAATAATTGATGAAAAGAACGAGAGGAAGCTTTAATAATTATCGCAAAAAGAATTTATAGCATTTAAATGCCATGAGATACAATTTTGTTTGTGGAATTGTAGGGTAAAAGGATTGTCATAGAAAACTTCTGCAAAAATTCCTATTATAGTGCATTCGCTGAGACACTTATGAAATTGATCTTCGTATTTTTTTCTTTTATATTTCACCCGCTAAGATTTCCGTAAATTGTTACATATTCTCCTACACTGTATTAACTTGGACAAAAATTGTGTTTCCAACATGAAGCAAGCATTCGTATCTATTTCTTAATAAATTCTATTTTTATACTTAATGCCCAGATACATAAGAAAGATGAAAAATTATTTGTGTAGACGCAAAGAGGTGTGTACTTGTATTATAGACGAATATCAACGAAAAGACAGTTTTTCAGTTAAAACAATGCACAGTGGTCCAAGTGTATTCAATAAGTAAATTATTTTTGCTAATAGTTGCCTAATATTGATGGTCACCCCAATGGTGATAGCATGCGCATTATGCTTTTTAGAGAGAAAAGCAAGTCTGCTTTTCGTTCGTGAGAGAGACTGTTAGATATGCAGCAGTAATGATATTTAGAGGCCGGAAAAATGATCTGTTGTGAGTTGGTGGAAAAAAATATAGTCTGCCGTAAAACGTCGGACCGTTCAGTCTTTTTGGTTCTTTTCTAATAGTGTGTTAGCACAAGAACACCTTATTTTATTTTCTTTAAGGTGAGTGAAGCTGTCGGACAAATAAAATAAAATAAAAAAAAAAATAAAAAAAGAGTTAGAAATTAGAGGCAGTTTTAAGAAGCCTTTAGGAAAAGAAAAGCAATCAAAAAAAGAAAAAAAAGAGAAGAAAAGAAAAAATTATATCAATAAAGTATTCACAATATTAAGGGAAAAGAGTCTTAAGCTTAAAAGCTGAAGTGATGAAAACACTTTTTATTAGTCAAAGTGAGTAAGGGCTAATAAATGATAAACTTGAAACTTATATATATGTACACACACATATATATATACACACATATATATATATATATATATATATATATATATATGTGTGATTTGTGTAGAGTATAAGTGTGAATAAAATTTCGAAGAATTTTTCGAAATCAATTAAAAACGATTGCATAACAAAGTTTCTTGTATGGTGTTTTGTATGTGGATTATAGTATACACACCTTACGTTTATATAGATTCCTCAATGATATGGCTAGAGTATGTTCATGTGTTGTGAGTTAATATGTGAACGTATCTGCAACCAAGAGCAATGAAAATGGTCAAAGTTATACATGCATATATATATATATATATAAGATAAATATCAAGTCGCCTGATCTAAAAATAATGAAAAGTAAGAAAGCTATATTCGCCTTGGGGCGAATCTTGGATACTTATCGTTTTTTAGGTAAATGTATAAATAAAATATTGCGGTTTTTTCTCGATATGGGCGTGGCAATATGGTAAATAATTGTGCTACAAATGCGTAAGTATTGTATTAACGCAAATTTATTGAAATTTTTGATTGCTTTGATCTAATTTAGTTTCTATGTATGTTTGATCTATGGTAGTTTTTAAGAAATTGTGGGCGTGTTTATTAAAAGATTATGTTTATTATTTAGATAATGTTTGCATGTAAAACACAAGTTGCACAATTTGATCTCAATTTCCGTGGATCTAAAAAATCTATAAAGAGACAATCGGATGGAAAATAATTAATACGACTCAGAATCTTACGCTTATCAAGAATATATATACTTTATGGGATCTCTGATGCGTACTTCTGGGTATTATAAATGGAAAGACAAGTAGTGTATCTCTATCCATTCTTGACAATGGATTGCGGCTAAAAAAGGACGGAAATAAGGGAAAGAAAATTCAGAAAAATTGTTTAGAAATTGCTATCGAATATTAGAAAATATAAATGAGAATTTTTTTGCTACAGTTTTTGTATGTTTTAATAAATTTTTGGCTCAAACTTTGCGGGCTTCAAGGTCTTGTTAAGACAGACACATGAACACACATATACGTATATATAGATATATCTATGTATATATAAATATTTCTGCAAATATATATATATATATATATACATGGTTTTGCAAATATTGATAGAATATATACAATGAATATTCTATGCACATAAATTCATTAAACTGTGCGAACATGCGAACAACGGCATATGTGCAATAATTTGATCTATTTTAAGATTACCTTTACATAGCGATTCCATCAATTCTTTCAAACGAACATAAAGAATGCTCTGCTTTTGTTCGCAAGTGCTACTAAAGTTTGAAAATCTTTAAACCAAATAAAAATTAGCCGTTCATTTAAAGTTTTACGGAACTCCCCGATAAGTTGGAACAATAATTTCAAAAAAAAGAAATGTTTTCCTTCTATGCGTTTGTATTGCTTTTTGTCATTTACATACTCTTTCATAATATTATCACCCACTCACCTATTTTTTATGAATACATTTCGATACATGGTGTACATGTATGCAGTCATATGCGTATATTAATTCTAATACGTTTGCATATTGGCCCACGCATTTTGACATATTTACGCAAAGCTATACACATATACGTGTATATGTACACATGCATACAGGACTATTCTCTTTTCACTCTTCGATTTTCTTATTTCTCTACTGATCTCTTTTCTCCTAATCTAACGTAGGCAGTTACATCTATATTCTTATCCGTTCGTTCAACGCACCCAAAAAAGAAAAACGTAACCTGCGCAGACAATTTAATCCACCTCCTTATACGGACAACAACTAAAAGCGAAAAAGAATAAAAATTAGATGTATCAACTTTTTTGCTTCTTTATTTTTTGTTTAAATTAAAAAAATTATTTCAAATCTTTCGATCTTCTAAAAAGCAAATATATATACAATTAGATGCAACAACAATAGTTATATATATATATATATATATATATATATTGTATATTTTGGTTACATTGTCTCTTATATGTATGTAAATGTTAACGGAAACTATTTAAATTATTTTCATCGATTTGAAAGGAGTGATCCTTTAATTTATTGCATTAATCGAAAATACTGAAAACGTTTTTTTTTACTTTCACGCTTCTCAGTTGGCTGGCTGCTAGAGACGAATACAGAAATACAATAAGTTAATAATAAATATTGTCAAAAGAGAAATGGACATTCTAAAATGTCAAATACTGTCTTCAGCCACTTATAAATATCTATTTAAGTTGCTTCAAAATGGACTTCATTGCAAATGATACGCTTAAGCCGAAGCTTGACGTTAACCAAAATTAATCTTCTTCAAAGAGCGTTTAGTTTGTTGATTTTGGAAAAAAGGTGCAAATCACACGACACGTGTATATGAGGACTAAATTAGTGGAGTCTACGATCAAGAAGTTCGGTAAAGGAATGAAGCAGAACGCATTTCAATATTTGAACCAGTTAGCCAAAATGCCACGAAAGTGAAGTTTAACCTGATGATTGTTGTTTACATCCTAAACTAGCTCTCTCTATTTTAACTTGAAATTATAATTTTTGTTTTTGTTGGTTAATAGGGGTATGTAATATTGTGCGTATTTGTGTGTGTGTATGAGTTTTTTTTCTTTTTTTGGGCGAGGAAAGCATCGAAAGCCGCCCTCTTTAGGCAGTGCGACACTTTAGCCCGCTCAAAAATACCTCGTCCCCTATCCGTACGTTATGATATGACCGTTAAGTATACGTTTACAGGGAGGGTGGCCGTCTAAACACTATTTAAGAGCCTAGATTGACGCTCCTCCTTTCTTTATTTTTTCATTATGTTTGCGGCAAACACCGCAACCGGTTTTCATTTGTTCACCTCGTGCAGGACATTTGCCATAACACTATCGGGGAGAGGAAACTCCCCGATTTCCATCTGTACTCTCTGTCATTCATTTTGTTATTCGGACAGACAAAGGACACGTATTCAGCGTTTTCAGGGCATTTGCAAAAACTACAAAATGGGTTCTGCTCTATCTTAAACCTAGGTAAGTGTGTTCGGGAACGACCACAATCGCTCGCACGATGTGTTAGGTAAAAGTAAACCTTTCCATGCTGTCTACAAAACCACAGTCGCAGATCTGGTATGAGCCGTTACGTTCATTTACCTTTGTTCTACCTGCTCTAATGTTTTTGCCATTCGTTCATCAAGGACCGTTTCCGTCGGCGCTCCAGGCTAGCCACGAAGCTCATGCATTGCTGGCCATGATTATATCGGTCACTAAACGGTGATCGTTTCTGTTGAATGCTTTCTCGGCAGGATTGTCAATCGACAATTGTCGATATGCCTTATCGAGACAAGGCAAAGATTCAAGTATGACGCTGTTTTTCAAATGTCCACCCATTTGAAATGCCAATCTGTCGCCCAAGTGGCAAATTCGCCTGCTATGAATAGCGGGTTTTTCCTCCATACGTCACTATAGAGAATATCCATCTGCATCCTGAAGTCGACTTCGACTAACACATCACGCCTCGTTTGTACATTACTTAGGCTGGTGGCCCGTTCGCTGCATTGTTTAGCTTCTAAGCACCTGAAGCACTTCAAGAGGTAATTCTTTCCCCTTATTCGGTCGATCGTCCATCCTACTTTAATTTTCCCTGCCTTCTGTAGTGCCTTGCCGGAACAGGCTTTTTGCAATAATTTAATAGCTTCATTAGCGACTTGCTAGTTGCTTATTATTATTATATTGCTTGTTGATCGTGACAACAATTTCTTCTGTTGTTGCTGCTTCATTCAGACATTTCATTTTCCCCTTAATTTCGTTCTCCTTCAACCTCGTGCTAACTTTGTCTTCGATTATCTTTGTCTTTAAACGTGTATTATTACCGTCCTTGCCTTGCTGCCATTCCAACGACATTTCACCCTTAAGAGTGCTGCCCACTTTCAATTTTTTTTCACCTGTCTTACGTAGCATCCGGCTTGGTGGTTACGCCATTCTCTCTATTTTCTGCTCTCTAATGGCTGCTCACTTTCATTTTTCTGTTTTTGCGTCTGTTTACCTCTCTGTGTGTGTGCGTGTTTTTTTTTTTTTTTTTTTCTTTAGTGCACGTAGTAGCAGGGCACTGCGAATATACATTGTGGTCCAAGCCATCCCGGATGCCCTTTCGCATAATTACCTTATCTCCCCCTTCCTCGACTGACACTCCGACTTCGCATGTCGTCTTCTTTCGGCTTTATACTGAAGCATATCTTGCAAGACACTGACGCATTTCTTCTATCTTTCAACTTAGTTTCGAGTCGTTTGCTGTCATTTTGTCAACATGCTCTCCCGGATAGTAGTCTTAAGTGTGCTGACATCGCTGTAATTTCCTTCACCTTCCCACACTTTCCATCAGACTTCTATTCGTCACCAGTATGGCTTCAGTTTTGCTTACTCGGCTTAACTTATCGTTAGTTATGATTTGTAGTAACTTGGTCAACGCTTGCTATACAGTGAGGGCAATACGATCGGCAAAACCTATAAATTTCACTTCTCTTGGAAACTCTATATTGAACAGGTTGTCATACATGAGACTCCACAGGAATCTTCTTCGCTTGTTTAAACTTTTTATGATGTTTTCGCAGTCAGCCATGTTAAATGCGTTTCTGATGCCCAATGTGATGACAGCGCAGAACTTTTTTGTTTCTTTCCTTTTTCCCAAGGATCGATGCTTTGTTGCCAGGATCAGTTCTGCTACTGTTGTTTGCGGCCAGAGAGCATTTGCAATTCCTGGTATAGGCATCCCGCGGTAACTCTATTGTTTATTATTTTGTACAGCAATGCCCACGAATCGTTATTTATGTCTTCACATAAATTGTTTCAGTATCTCGGTTCATTGGTTTTCATTGCTACTTTGAGAAACTTCTTCGCATTTTTGTAAGACTCGAGATGATTTATATTTTCTCTGGATCTTGTCCCTCGTGTCTTGATTTTTAGGCACTCCTCCCTCAATTGGCTTGTTTCTTCATTCTACCAACACATTGGCATCTGGTCCTTTATGTACTAAGGTATGCTGGATGTAAGCCACGACAGTATTCAGATCTTCTATGTGTGTGTATTTATGGTTGCATAAGCCAATACGTCGATTCGAAGGGGTTTACAAATACCTTTACAGTAGATACTATATATAACAGGAGCACATGTAAGACATTTGTCGCTTCAAGCAAACATGTAACATTTAGAAAGTTTTTATAGCTATTAAGGAAGGATATAATGAAGGACGGGGTATAGAGCGATTTGGCTTTCTAAAGATGCTTGGACACCGTGTGAGATAATTTAAACCGCGTCCAATTGGTCCATTATTATTGAAACTTTTACTGTTGAAAAAATTCAGATAAAATATCCTCAGGTTATGTGACAAAATAGGCTTAGTAAATGTCAAAGTCGGCCTTTTTATGTGACAATATTAAGAGCTATAGAATGTATCGGAACTGCTTAAAAGTTGTTGTCAGACTTGTAATAGCTTCTATGCTAGAATGATTTCGAAAGGAACTAACAATATCGCCATTTTTTTATTAGTAATCTGTGAAATATAAAATAAAACTACATGAAGTTTTGGCTATATATCTAGTAAACCTGTGCAAACGTGTAAATGGGTCAATCACGTCACTCTGGCAACTAAAAGATTACAGTAACGTGCGCATAGATTTTAATAATTTGGCAATATTTTTAACAGTGAATTTTGGTCTATACACGCTACCGGATATGTTAATGTAAGGACGAAGTGTTTCCATAGAAACTACATGTTCATTGTATGAGAATGATGAAAAATACTTTATTCGCAGTATTGCACATCGCTAGCTATACATTTTTTCCACCTATCTGACAATTACTGAATGCTATGCCTTAAAAAGTCTTACTCTTTTTTCGCGAGTTATTCATCCTTCAGACCTCCCTTGCCTTTGTGTGCAATGAAGCTTAGCAAGTGCATGATCCGCCGTTGTAAGCAAGTGATGATTGGAAAGGGTCAAGTCTGCGGAATAATCCCCACGGACTAGCACTTTCCAGTTAAGCGCTTATAGCGACATGAAAGTTGTATTGTTGTTAATTGCAAAAGATTGGTCATATGTCAACAAGAAAATGGTGTCAGTGGTGCGGTTTGACGGTAATTCCATTGATAGCTATCGCAATCTATGGGCAAATTCTGATTTTATAATTACATACCTGCTATATATTTACAAAGAGATTTTTCTTAAAGTCTCATGGAACTTTGAAGTGAAAATGGACTTAATCGGCTCGCCCTCTCACGTTTGCTAAAAGGCAGAGAAGTAACAAAGAAAGCTGCGTTCGACATGTAGCAAGCTCCTGGCACCCACCGTCTCAAACGAGCACACAAAACTTGTAAAACGTGCTAGAGTTGTGGACCTGTAGCTTAGCCGATATGGCTACCGACGCTCTCCCTCTTTATATGACTCCACGAAATATATATGCTTTCGTTTCAGTAGTTGTAAGATTGCAATTTTATCTAACCTATTTATGGGCTAATCTGTCTGTTTCAACAAGAAGCGTACAAGGGATTAAGTAGACGAGCAATAAGACGTGCGGAAAGATGAACAGACGGATGGATATAAAAACCGAAAACTACAAAAGCTCGATTTGGAATACGGGTTCGACGGTTCGTCCCATAAAAGTTTACTTGTCATCGCGAAATATGATTTAATATATATCTAAAAATCAAAATCTTCCTCTTCTTCCATTTGGCCTAAGCTTTGTTTTTAATTTTCTAAGCCTATATATATATATATATATATATGTAAATATATAATTTTTTAAACCACATATATATGTATATGTATATCTACTTAATATGCGCATATACATTTATACACATATATCCTCAGAATACATGTTTTGCTTTGGTTCTAACTTTTAATTACAGATTCTAAAACCTAAAACCGACAAACAACATGGCTGATGACGAGGTGAGGTAAGTATCAATAAAAATACATATTAAATTACTATATAAAAATAATAATCATAATACCAGTAGTAGTGGCCCTAGAAGCAGCAACAAATAGAATTATTAATACTAGTAGTGATAGTAATGTTAGAAGTTGTAATAGTAATAGTACTTATAAAAACAAATTTTAAATCATAAATAAAAATAATTCTTAATAATTATTTCAGTAAAAATAAAATTAACTGCGACTTCAAGTGACGTATATTGTATGTGAATATGAGGATATTGTGAAGGTGAGAGTCAATTAAACACAACAGTGATTTAGAAGCTTTTTATAGGCAAACCAACCAATGCTTTTTAATTTGTTTTCTGCTTTTTCCCAAATGCTTTAAGCTTTTAGCAAAAACATGAAAAACGAGAAAAAACAACAAAAAACTTTCTTTTGGATGCTTACTAATTTTATCCAATCCAGTAAAAACTAATACCCTACGTTAAGTTTTCAAGTGTTTCTTCCTTTATGTAATTTTTTGTTAAGATCTTTCAAGAAAAGTAACAAAAATCTTAATAAAACTTTGTTCACCTATTGCAGAAAAAGGCCGCACCAGCA